GTGCCTGTGAGCTCCCCCCTCCCCTCCCCTGCACCACACACCCCAACCTGTGCCTGCGAGGCTCTCCCCTCCCCTCCCCTGCACCCCACAACCCGGCCTGTGTCTGTGAGCTCTCCCCTCCCCTCCCCTGCGCCCCACACCACGGCCTGTGCCTGTGAGCTCTCCCCTCCCCTCCCCTGCACCCATACCACTGTGGTCTGCTTAACTCTTACTCGCCCTGCCATCTCACTCCACAACCCTCTTCCAGGAGCCCTCCCTGGCACCCCCACCCCTGCCCCTGTGCGGCGGAGTCATGCCACCCCATCTTGCTCTCAGGGCTACATCACTTGCAGGCCCAGATGCAGAATGAAAACCTGGGGCGCCTTGTTCAAAAACTAGGATGAGTCTGGGGATGGTAACAACAGCGTTGAAACCCGGCACAGAGCCCTGGTGAGTGCAGGCCTGGGGGTGCCTGCCTGTGAGGTCAGCACTGCCCTCAGGACTCCCCATTCCTCCTTCATTCCTTCTTGCCATGTCTTTTCTTGGGCAATTGTTTAGTTTGCTATTCCCACAGGTCCGGGAAGCCCCTAAGACCAGGGCTGGGGTAGGTTTTAGGCGCAACTCTGTCTTCCCAGCTCCCAGCAGAAATCCTGGCCCAGCAGTCAGGAAATGTTCTAGAATGAATGGATGGAAAGGAGTGGAGAAGAAACAGATGCGGGAGAAGGAGGGAAGAATGGAAAGGAATGACTGGGCAAGACAGAGGAATGGGAGTGGGGGGAAGGGAGTGGGCTGGGCAGGGCAGGGCCTGGCTGGGCTGGGGGGGGGCAGGGCGGGGCCACTGGTACTCACAGCTGGTGGAGGGGCTGTCGGTGCCATCCAGTTCTGCCCTGGGGAAGCTGTGGCCGGAACGGGCCGTGAGCAGCGCAGACTCGATGGCCCTCTCGTGGGCAGTGAGGACGATGGTGGGGGCCTGGCCTCCGGCCCCGGGGCCCGACAGGGACTGCTGCATGAAGGCCAGCTTGTCCTTGGTCCTCCGCTTCATGTCGTCCCATCTGTGCTTAATGTCCTTGACGGAGCGGGGGACCTGGCTGACGGAGGTGACCTTCCGAGCTATGCCTTCCCAAATCTTGTCCCTGTCGGCATGGGACAGCCGCATGGTCTCCCTCCCAAAGAGAACTGGCTCGTGGTGGGTCACCTCTGTGACCAGAATGTCCAGCTCCTCCTTGGAGAACTTGGGCTTCCTCTTACGCTCAGCCAGGGACGCCACATTCCTTGGGTTGAATATCCCACAAAGCACAATTGGGTAAATGACCGTCAGCGTGGGGTGGTCCTCCTCCTAATAGCTGGCCCCCAGCTAGGGCTGCCTGAGGCACCTGGTGCCCTCGTGGGCTCACCTCCAGCATGCCCTCCTCCTACCGAGAGGCCCCCTGCGTTCCCCAGAGGGCCGGGAGAGAGGCGGTGTCACGGGCGGGCGCCGAGCTGCGTGGAAGGCCTTCGTCTCAGCCCTGCCCGGCCTGTACTGGCCGAGAACCAGGCGGTTCGTCTACCTCCCCCAACCCCACATTCCCCATCCACTGGGGAACAGCGACCACACCAGTCTTGGGGTTGCCACCAAGGAGGGAAAAGCACAGTGATGAAAGAGAACTTTAGAGAACCTCGACAGGAAGAAAAGATCCTTATGGGGCTAAGGATCCTGCCTGCACAAAGTGATCCTTTACATTCAGCCAAATGGCTCGAGGAAGCACGTTTAACAGGGAGCCCATTTACAGACTCTTCCGCCGTGTGTGGGGCTCACTGGGGACACCCATGGCCAGGGTGCAGTCACAGAAAGTTCTTTCTGTTTTGTGGTCCTCTTCTCCGTCCCAGCCCCCCCGAGTCCCCACCTCTGGGTAAGGGCCAGCTGGGGGTTGCTCGCCCTGCGGTGGCTGCCGTGACTCTGGCAGCTGGTGGTGGAAGATACGGGGTGCCCCCCACGCACCAGGATACAGGCTCCTCCTTGACGGAGATGGGGGTGCCAGGGGTCCCATCTGCACAGCAGCGGGGGGCCCCCCACATCTGACCTGACACCTGACCTGGTCCTGGACCGCGTCTGCTCCACACTGTGGCTCTGTCCACCGTTTAGCCAGAGTCCCCAGAGAGCCACCCAAGAGCTGTGCATGCAGGGGAACTGGGCCCGGCTCACCCTTCTGGCTGCTGCTGAAGCTGAGGCCGGAGGCCAGGAACACAAGGCCCCTTCAGTCCTCACTTGCCAGTCACCTACCCAGCACACTACAGCTCAGGAGAAAGAGAAGGGCAGGGCTCACTCACCGGCAAAAGCCTTGGGGGGCGGGGGACCCCCTAGCTCTCAGCCAGCCCCGGGGCCAGAGACCTCCTCCACATGCTCATGGCTGCCAAGGAATCATGCCAGATGCTCAGTGTTGCCACTACTGGCAGCTGGCTGTGAAGTTCTTTATCAGTAGGGTAGGGGGTGTCTGGGGTCATGAGGATATTTACCAGCATCCTGGATTCTGCCCAATAAAAGCCACAGAGTCGCAACCAAAAACCTCAAATGCTCTAGGGGGCTGGGTGGGCAGGGAAAACAGCCCCTCCTGCCAGGGGCCCCTTTTCACGAACACAGAGGCCCAGCGCCAGGCTCCCAAAGGGTCACCGCTCGCTACATGGAACCCAATCTCTTCTTGGTCCAACACTAATTTTTTGAAGACTCTGACCAGCTCCACTCCAACACTGCAAAACCCTAGGCTGTGCCAGCACAGGTGAAGAGACCTGCAAATCAGAAAGAGCTGTACAAACGGACACTGCATTTAAGGGGACGAGGGGCCCCCGAGATGAAGAGGCTCCCCTCCAACTTCCACCACAGGGGCATCTCCATGGAAACCAGCCACAAGCCCACCCCAACCTATTCTTCCAGTCTGTAGTGAGATAAGGCCCAGAGGGCTGTGACGACCCTGGCGCCACTTGGACCAGGGCAGGCTGGGAGCGGGACGAGCACAGCTCTGGCCGCAGCCGGCAAGCAGCCCGGGGAGCCATGCTTTGCTAGGGTCCTGGTGCGCAGGCGGCAAGGACACTGGCCAGAGTCCAGAGATGGGTTCAGGCCCGGCTCAGCCACTGACCGCCTGATCCTGGAGACCCGGCCCTGCCCTGGGATTCTTCCCACCATCATGGCACGGGGAGCAGCGCCGAGCAGCAGCTCACGACACTAAGAGCACGTCAGAACCCCTCCGCAGAGCTGTCAAATACCAGCGCCCTGGGCGGAATCCCAACCCAATGAAGTCAGAATCTCTGGGCACCAGATGCTCCCTCAGTTAGTTCAGATGATGAATCGCTCTCTTTGGAGTTGTGGCAAAGCCTGTGCCCAAACGGAAAGATGAGAACAGAACAGACGCAGCTCTGCGGGACAGTGCTTCTGGAGCCCTGAAAGTGCAGGGAGGCCGGAGGCGGGAGGCCCCTCACACGCGCCCCACGCACCCCTGTGCTCTCGGAGCCAGAGGGGCACAGGCCCGGGGCGGGGGCGTGGGGGCTGTGCGGCACCCCAACGCCGACCCGGCAGGCCTCTGGTCCCACTTGTGCTCACAGTGCCCTCAAAAGAAACCCTGGCCCCTCTGAAGGCCCAGCCCGGGGGCCCCTCCTTCACCTGCCCTTTGCTGCACATGGTCAGTGCTTCCCTTCAGCAGCCATATCAGAAACAGCCCTTTCCTGAGAGGAAGGCATGGGTCCTGGAAGGGCCAGGCCAGACCAGGCCTATCCAGCAAGGGCACCCGGGACCTGTCCTGACTCGGGGGTGCACTGCATGGGCTGAGGGGACCTGGAACTAGTGGGGGGGTGTCAAGAAGCGCCGCTCACCTTGGAGTTCTTTCGGGACCACAGCCAGCCAGACTATGCGCGCGGGCCGGCTCGTCCCCGGGGCTCCTGCTACCGCACCTGCTACATGGCAGCGGGAACAGCTGCCCCAACGAGTAAGGCGACCTCGGTGCTCCGGAGGGGGAAAGCCCTCACCAGCCGGGGTCAGCTGGACCGGGGGCCCCAGGAAAGGGAAAGGCCACCTTGTCAGGGGCTCCACACCTCTAACCGATTGCTCCTCATTTGGTGGGAAAGCCTCTGGGTTAAATACAGCACACACCCTCTCCAAAGTCCGGAACTGCCACCCCCCCACCACCACCACACCCTGTGGGCACCAGCTGCACCCTGCCCGGAGAGGCCCCAGTGCATAGCAAGGCCCTGCCCCTAGGCCCGGACACCCAGGAACTCCCTTCCCTCCCGCTCAGCACCACGCCTGGGTCCCAGAGAGGCCGCCAAGGAGACGGCAAGGCAAGCCCAGGTGGCCGCGGCCCACCACAGACTGGAGGGAGAGTTCTGCCTGGGCGCAGTCCGGCACCTCTGAGGTATCCTTCTGGAGCAGGCAAGCTTCTGTCCCAAACACTGGAGCAGGGGTACACCCTTCTCAAGAGTACTCAAGCCTGGGCAGCAAGCACCCTCGAACACTGCCCGGCGCTATGCTGGGAGACTCCTTTTCCAGAGAAGCTATTTGAACAACCTCTGTGCAGGGGTCCAGTGGGAGTCTGCCCCAAAAGCCAGAAGAGTCCTGAGGGGAGGGCCACCCCACTAGGAAATGCTGCCAGGAGCCTGGGGTGTGGGTACTCCAGACACTCGGCAAGTGTGCTACTTCTGGGGGTCCCTGCACCCGCCACGCTGGCCACGAGCCTTCTCCAGAACCCCCTGATGGAAACCTGAGGGGCCCCAAGAACTGGACACATCCCATACCCTGCAAACGGAACTCGGGGGGCCCTTCAAGGGCTCCACCACTGGAGACCCTACAGGTCCAGCATGACCCTCGGCCTCCTCTCCAGCGTTCAGGCTCCCGGAAAAACAGCAGAGCGCAGGACTCACCTCATCCAGTTGGCTTTAGACTCATCTGACCCATCTATGGACTTGTAGCGGTTGTTCTTGTCCACAATCTGGAAGACAGAGAGAGTCCTGACTGGGCTGTCCTAGAACGGGCTCCCACATCCCTGGGCTCTGCCCCAGCCAGGCCCCAGAATCTGGCTCCACCGCTGCAGCAGAGAACTATCCATCT